GAAGGACTCCAGCTCCTCCTCCCCATGTTGGAAATACCCCCTCCCAGAACCGGGACCACTTGAGCTTGGGCTCGGCTCCTCAGCCTCCTCCTAGGTGGGGTGGGACCAGCCGCCCGCACCCCTTGAGGGGCTGCTCGCCATGACCCACTCCCCAGCCCCAGCCCCAGAGCAGGGCCAGGGTCCCCTCGCCGCTCCCCTTCTCCCCTGTCCTACCCAGCTCTCAGCTACAGGCCTGGGTGGAGCCTGTTATGCGCTTTGTACATCCTATCCCCGTGGCCCACCAAGAGGCACGACTTTTTCTACAACATGAACAATAAAGATTTTGTATTGTCCTGACCGGAAGTCTCAGGCCGTGGCGGAGTGTAGAGCTCGCAGGATGTGAGTGGCTGACCCAGCTTCTGGGGCACTGTGGTCAGAGGGTTGGACTTGCCCCAGGTCGGGAAGGTCTCCTAGGCCCCGCCCATCGGGTTGATGCCCCATAGGCCCCGCCCACCAGGTTGGCCCCTCCAGGGAGTCCCGCCCCTCCGGGAAGCCGCGGGGTTTTGCCAGGCTCACCCCCACAGCCCAGGAGAAAGAAGCGGGGACCTGGGCAGAGACTGGCGGCTAGAGGATGGGACAGATTCCCCAGACACAGGTCCCACTGCCCCCTCCGGTAGTCTTCTCAGCACCCCCACCCCACCACATCCTTTTTTCATCTGTTGCGGCATTTCTGCCCACAGCTCCCCAAGAGGCTCCTGGGGGGCAGGGTCCACTACTAAGCCCTGTCAAGGTCACCCTAGCCTAGGCCCAGTGAGGGCCAGCGGTATGGTAGTCCGAGCCCAGGTACACGTGACCCCTGCCCTCTACGGCTTCAGCCTCAATGCCCATGAGAGATTCAGACCCCCTACAGCCTGAGGGGCACTTTCTCTACCCGCCCCTTATGGGAGAGGCGACTGAGACCCCACTCTGAAGGCTTTAAACGCCTGGTGAGGACTGGCAAGGGGGCCACAGGAGGGTCATGGAGTCCCCAACTGCACCCCAACAGTTCCTCTGCTGGGGCCGCACCATTCCTCCTGCGCCACGTCCCCCTCCACCCTCCGAAGGCCAGGCCCTGTCCACACCCACTCTAGCAGCCTCAGGCCCTCTAGTTCTCCTACCCTCCTCGCCCCCACTGCCCTCACTTGAGTTTTGTTCTCTCGGCCTCCAGGGGGCGCTGGAGCCAGGCTTGTGACTCAGGCCAGGGGTCTGCCTGTGGCAGCCGCAGGTTCCTTCTCTGCAAAGTGTATCTGTGAAAATCAAGTGTGGCCGAAACCGGTTTGGCTCAGTGGATAGAGCGTCGGCCTGCGGACTGAAAGGTCCCAGGGTCGATTCCGGTCAAGGGCATGTACCTTGGTGTGAAACCCCTGAGCAGGTGGCCCCGAGGTCCCCGCCTGTCGGACACTCACAGGCGCCCGGGAAATTCTCTATTTTCTATATTTAGAGGGAAGCAGTGGTCCCATACGTGTCTGAGGAAGTTCCGAGGTCCAGGTAGTTCCTGGTTTCAACATTAGGTCACTCCACATGTCTTTCACGTCGTGCCTTTGAGACACTGGATTTCCTGTAGTTTTGAGGATAAAAAGTGAAAATCACCAAGGAACAGGAAATGATGCTGGGGTGAACGGGCTGATGTTGAGGCCTGAGGGGCTGGCCAGGGCTCACGGCCGATCAGTAAGTACTGGTGATGATTAAAAGAATGATATAAAAGCGCGATGTTTTCTTCCTAATGATGTGAATTCTACTTTCTAAGTGACTAATAAGTTATTAACACGTACATACTTACAGGTTATTTAGACCTAAAGTCGTTCCTAAGTAGAACCGTTGGATATTTCTTTTGGTCTTGGAAGCACCATGAAAAGTGACTGAGACACTAAGGGTGCCAGCAGCCAAGAGCGTTTGGGCAGCTGGGGGAAGCTCCCAATGAAGCTCAGCTATTGACCTTCCGGACCTACAGGGAGTCCCCCCACCCCGGCCTAGACAACTGGCTGCGTCCTTTGGGGCCCAGTTCTACGGAAGGTGATTAAACCTGTAGTCTGTGATGCCGTTGAATGAAGCCCGCGCAGCCCCCTGTCCCCCATGTGCTGCAAACCCACCTAAGCCAGATACCAAGTTGTCTTTGGCAGATTCCGGGGTCCTGCAGTCATAGGGCAGTGGGAGCTACTGCTGTAGTGACGGCCACAGGCCTCCTCTGCCCAGACGCCCCACCAGGGGGCCTATCCACTCAGGCAGGCGAAGGTCCGAAAGCCGTCAGCTTCACACGCAGACTTGCCATGACAGGCAGGCCCAGAAAGGGTCACATGGTATGACCCACGGGCCGGGTGAGGCGCCAGCGTGCCGTCCCTCCAGGGGGTGCCCCTGGGAAGACCTCCTTCCCTGTTAGCCTGCTGGTTAACAAAGGAGGTAGGCACCAAATTTCACAATGAGGCGACAGACAGCTTTGAAATAGGCAGCGGCAAGATGCCAAACTGGCTCTGCTTTTGGATGTGCCCTGGCAGCTTTCAATTCCACGTTCCTTTCGCAAGTCAGGACCTGGCCTGTGTCCTGGCAGCCTGTGTAATCGCAGACACCCACTTACAACCCAGTCACCTGCCTACAAGGATCTGCCTGAGAATCCTCCCTGGAGGCACCGATGTAGGCCAGTCTCGCTGGCACAGTTGGGTCCTGTCTCGGCGGCAGCTGGGGCTTTGCTATGGCTCCGCTATCATTGCACTTGACTGCAGAAGAGGGGGTGCCCGAGGAAGAGTTTGTACGCAGTTCAGATGTCTCTTCAGAGTCTCCCAGGTCCGCACCATAGAAGGCATCCTTAGCATCGTCGGGAGAACCTTCGCTCCTCCTTTGGTCCAGAGTGTCCTCGGCGTGAGGCCTTCCTCGGGTAACGGCAGTCAGGTTCTTCATCGCTGAAGCTGCTCACGGTCTCCGGACGATCTGAAGGAAAACTGAGAGACGGGACTTAGAGAAATGATTCTCTGCTTTTCGCACGCAGACAATCCTCGGGGAATTATTATTATTGATGAAGGTGGGAGTTCTCTCCTGCCAAAGGGGAAATGTTCTGATAGACACAGCGCTTGTGGTCCCCCTGCGGCCCAAGGGCCACCGCCCCGCCTACGACGCAGGACCGCTGCCCGTCACTCACCCACCCAGTGAGAGAGAGACCCTGGGGAACTGTGAGGCGTGCCAGTGAGAGGAGATCTGGAGAAAGGTCTAAGGAGAGGGCTTTGCTCTGGCTTGGGTGCTGTTAGAAGCCCGTCACTCACACTAGACAGGACAGAGGAACATTAGGTCACCTTTGTGGTCTGGACAATGCCCACCTTTGTCTGTGTTCACTCGTGTGTTTGGAATGGTCTTGACGGTCTTGTTTTTGTCGGTCCATTATGGTCACAGAAGGTGAGTCCGAAGTTGCTGTTCTGTGAAAGTGTTCAGATTTGGCAGGAGAACAGGTCTCAGCCGACCATGCCAACCAGCTCCTGGGTGTCAATGCACAAAGGATGACATCACAGGGTGGGAAGACAGCTGCCAACTCAGGAAGATGTTATCAAGAGATACACTTGGCTTCCAGTGAGGAGCCTAGAAGTTATCAGTCCCTCTTATTATTATTATTATTATTATTACTAGAGGCCCAGTGCACGAAATTCGTGCACTCGGGGGTCCCTCAGCCTGGCCTTTCACAGTCCTGGAGCCCTTGGGGGATGTCCAACTTCCCCGGAGGTGGGAGAGGCTCCTGCCACCTCCAGCTGTGAACCCGGCTTCTGGCTAAGTAGTGCTCCCCCTGTGGGAGTGCACTGACCACCAGGGGGCAGCTCCTGTGTTGAGCATCTGCCCTCTGGTGGTCAGTGCATATCATAGCGACTGTTTGTTCTGCTGTTGAGTCAATTTGCATATTAGCCTTTTATTATATAGGATTATTTTTAAATAGTTTTGTTTTTTTAAAATATGTTTTCATTGATTTCAGAGAGAGAGTTAGGGAGAGGGAGAGAGGGAGAGAAACATCAATGATGAGAATCATTAATCGGCTGCCCCCTGCACACCCCACACTGGGGACCAAGCCTGCAACCCAGGCATATGCCCTGACCAGGAATCAAACCATGACCTTCTGGCCCATAGGTTGATGCTCAACCACTGAGCCATGCTGGCCGGGCTTCAGCCCCTCTAGCCTTCCACGTGGGGTAAGGGACAGAGGGAATGCCAGGCCACTCTAGCCATCCTGTCCCACCGAAGGGGGAAGACAGAGAGGCTCGGGTTCAGGCTCACCAGGGGCAGGACCACAGAGCACAGCCTTAGCCTGACCCTTCACCTCTTCATTTGTTTTTTGTTTTTTTATTAATATATTTTTTATTGATTTTTTTTGCAGAGAAGAAGGGAGAGGGATAGAGAGTTAGAAACATCAATGAGAGAGATTGATCAGCTGCCTCCTGCACACCCCTCAGTGGGGATGTGCCTGCACCCAAGGTACACGCCCTTGACCAGAATCAAACCTGGGACCCTTCAGTCCTCAGGCTGACGCTCTATCCACTGAGCCAAACCGGTTCGGCGACCTTTTTATTTGTAAAGGCCTGTTTACCGCAGTCCTTTTCGCCCAGCACATCACATCTGCCTTTCTAGAAAGATTATGCGGCAGCCCTGGCCAGCGTGGCTCAGTTGGTTGGAGTGTCCATCTGTGCACCCAAAGGTGGTGGGTTCCATGACTGGTCTGGGCACATGTCTAGGTTTTTTGAGTTTGGTCCCTGGTCAGCCAATCTATGCTTCTCTCTCACATCGATGTTTCTGTTTCTCTCTCTCTCTCCCCCTTCCTCTCTCTCTCTCAAAAAAAAATTTACAAGGCAGAGTAAAAGGGCACAAAACAGTTTGAAGAGACTGAACAAGCATCAGAATTAGATAAGGATCATATAAGCGAAGAAATGGGAATCTTGAGAAAGAATAAAAAAGAAATGCTGAAAAACCAAACAAACACTGTAACAGACATAACGCGTAAGGAGTTCCTTGTTCAAACTGGACACGGCTGAGGAGAGAAATTCTGGGCTTCATTCAGGGTATGACAACAGCAGCTTCCTAAAACGACGAGCAAAGACATGGAGACTGAAAATAAAACAAAACAAAAGAAACAAACAGACCAGAATACCCAAGAACTGTGGGAAGCTACCAAGCATGTGGCATGTGCTGAAGCAATAGTGACTGAGAATGTTGGAGAACTTACTATGAAGCTGTGGTAAACAAGACAGTCGGTACCGGTGATAGAATAAACCATCTGATTTTAAAATGAGCCAAAGGTCTAAACAGATATCTCACCAAACAAGATACACAGCATGCCCCAGAACCTCGGGAAGGAGCACAGCCCTGCAGGCACTTTGATCATATTTTTAAAATATATTTTGATTGATTTCAGAGAGAGGAAGGGAGAGGGAGAGAAACATCAATGATGAGAGAGAATCATTGACCGGCTGCCTCCTGCACGCCCCACACTGGAGATCAAGCCTGAGCCTGGGCATGTGCCCTGATGGGGAGTTGAACCACAATCTCCTGGTTCATCGGTCGATGCTCAACCACAGAGCCACACTGGCTGGGCGAGCATATTTCCATTTGCTTGTGGGCTCTTCAGGCTTCTTGTTCAGTTTTGTTTTAACAGCTTTAGTGAGATACATTCACCCATTTGAAGTGCATAATCCAATGGGAGGGGGTGCCGGGCCTCCTGAGTCACGCCACCCATGCCCCTGCCCTGACTTCCCTCCCTGGTGTGGCACTGACTCCTCTGGGGTTTGTGGGGGACTGTGGCTCCCACGGGGCTGGCTCTAATCACAGCCAAGGATGACCTCAGATGGGTGGGCACACACAGGTTCTCACATACTCTGTCTGGAATGGCTGATTTGCTTTCTAGACATAGTAAGTGCTTGAGAAATACTTGCAGAAATACGAGCCAGCAGTTGTGGGGTCTGACTTTGACCTGGAGCTGTGCTTCTTCCCAGGTGATTTTCCCAAGAACCATGGCAATTAGGCACTATTGTTACCTCAGAGAGAATCAGAGAGGTTAGGCAACTTGCCCAGGGTCACACAGTAAATCTATATATAATAAAGGCTAAGCGACCGTCTGACCATCCGACCAGTAGCTATGATGTGCACTGACCATCAGGGGGCAAATGCTCAATGCAGGAGCTGCGGAGCTGCGGTGACTTGGCAGTGGCGGTTCTCGGGCGACGCACCCCAGACCCAGAGAGGAGGGAGCCCGATTCTGGGGTGCATCACCTGAGAACTGTCCACAGGGATGTTGGAGAGCCGGTTTTAGCCCAATCCCTGCAGGCCAGGCCGAGGGACCCACCTGCCGGAGGGACCCTGCTCACTCCGCAGCTGCCCTTTGAGCTGCTGCGCTACCCCCAGTGCAGCCAGCTGGGGAGGGACTGCAGGAGGTTGACTCCAGGGCATGTCTGGCCCGTCTCGCCCAGTGCTGCCCCACTGGCCGCCTTCTAATTCATTTCCTTTCAATGTGCATGAACCCATGCACCGGGGCACTGGTAGGAGAATGAAGGGACAAAGGAAGGACACAGCACTCTGGAGCCACAGCTGCCCTGGCCGGGTCAGGTTGTCTGTGGAGAGTGCAGATGAAGGAGCGCGTGGTGCAGGGTGGGGTGGTGGCCATGAGGACTTGGTGCAGGCACCTGGGTGGGCTATAGAGCTCTGCTGGCTGAGGGCTTCCTGGAGGAGGCACCATTTCCTGCCATGGTCCCGCTGACATTTTCATCCTGTAATTGCCACTTCGTCCCAGATCTTTCTATTTGTCGGTAATTTCCTGACAGCCTGCCATCGCCAGACCTGTTCCAGAGCCAGCGAGGGGAGGTGGGGGTGGGGGGGAAGGGGAGAGGGTGCAGCCACCTTGGGAGAAGTGTAGGTGTGTGAACAGGGCGGCAGCTGGACTAGCCCAGTGGTTCTGTCAGTTTGCCCAGGTGCTGCTCCACTTCCAGGCGTGGGCGAAGCGGGCAGAGGGAGTCTTTGTGGCCAGCGCCTCTTAGGAGGATTAGCAGCTGGCAGAGGCAGGCGTGAGACCTGGGCAGGGGCAGAGTAGGCTCATCTGGAAGCAGAATGTCGGGCACTGAGGGCAAAGGCGTGGTAAAGGATTCAAGGGCACAGCCAACACTGGGGTATGTGGGGCCGTGGGGCACGGGGCAGCGGCAGAGGGGCCAGAGGGTGAAAGACACTGGGGGGTGGGGGTCTGAGATGTGGGGCCACAGGGCAGCGCCCATGGGCCAGGGCCTGGCTCCACGAAGGTGGATGCTGTCCTGCCCGGGTTGTGCCGCATGTCCTCAGGTCACACTGTCTGGGTCTCACTGTTCCCCATGGAGACACCTGGGAGCAGCCTCAGAGGGACCCATGGTCCTGGCCCAGGTCTGGCCCCAGGGTGGGGGAGGAGGCAGGGCCTAGCAGGGGCCA